TCCATGGACATTTATGTGGCTGGGTGGAACCACAAAAGAAGTAGGGAGACTGTATAGCTCTTCTTGCAGAATTGGGGCCTTCCAGAAGAAATCTATAATAGGACAAGTCACCAGTTTTCATAAAGATTCTGAACAAATTCACGCATCTTAACATCAAACATTCTGCCACTCATTATCGCAAGACATCAAATCAATGGAGCTGTGAATTAGCACACTGAAGCCCCCTTTAAAGTATTTGCTATTGAAATGTACCACTAAGTACAGCAACAAGGAACATTTCAGAGGCAGTAGAAAAGAAACATAAGAAAAGTTACTGGGTTTTAATTTAATGGCTAAAAACAGAATCGAAACACTGACTCTTTGTCACTAAGCTTTTTGTCTAGTCTAGTGGCAATCTGTGATGTTACCAGACATTTGGCATCACTGATGTCAGACAGCAGCCAAGGAAGAACTCTTCACATTTTACTGTAGGAACTCATCTGCTTGTCACTAACAATTATTTCTTTAAACAGCAGTTCTATTTTTAAATTTGCATTGACATCACTACAACATTTTAAGCCCCACCACCACAAGAGCGATGGTATGAGAGTATTATTTCATAAGGAGGCCTGCATTACTTGAAGTCTGGTTCTTGCTGCAAAACAATGTTGCATTAGAACAACCATCAGTTTTCTTATGTAGCCTAGCCCTGGCTCTAATTTTTTTCCAGTCAAATCAGCCCCCTTCAGGATCAAACACCACTCCAAAAGTGGATACAACCCTGTAAAAATCAGCTTCTTCTCTGTTTGTCCATCTTTGTTGCCTTTCAATCTTAGCAGCCATTTTTGGATTTAGAGCAGCTTCTTCATATGGAGGCTGCATCACAATGGCCTGGACTGGAAATATTGGTTGGATCATCTGCATGATCATCTGCAGTCCTGATCAAGCTGAATTAATCAGTGTTACAGAATTCTAGCACCCTCGGTTTATACAATTCCATGTCCAGTATCTTCCATTGCTCTTGTAATTTATTAAATCTTTTTAGTGTATTTGGATGGAAAAACCAGAATGAATAATTTCTTTAAAAGGCCTGAAAACACTGCACAAAGCCAATGTTGTAGATTTTCCATCACAGTCCAGAAAAGATTCACTGTTCTACCACAGGACTGGTATTTAAATTAAGCAAAGGATCAGGTCAGCATATTATGTCTACCCAGCAGAACAAAACTAAGGCTGTCGTTAGATTCTAAGCACAAAAGCAAGGGATGCTTTTTTTTTTTTTTTAACGCATGGCCTTAAGAGTAGCTTTTCAATGCCAGTAATGCATGTGTATGGAAAGTCCATTCCCCACCCCCACTAGCAGAGAGATGGAAAAATGGAAGCCCTTTCTCTCTATCATTAACCAGCGGGAGGGTTGGAACCAAAGCTTCATCCCCTCTCGGCTACAGGATGATATGAAAGATGGCACCCTACAAAAAACTCCACAAGCAGGTGTTTGGGAAAAGCTACATTTATATTAACTAATAATTTGTTCAAGACCCGGCTGTTAAACAGCAAACTTCCCCCTTCTCTTTTTTCCTGGTAGCAAAGACCATTTTAGACAGATAATTAATTTTTGTATTTTGGAAAATAAAATTAAAATGTCCATACTTCATTTGAATAATTGCTCTGGGGTGGGGCTGGGCATAAGGGATTCAGTTTGCTGGCAGCCTCAGGGACAGAGGACTATCCCATCCCTTTCTCATTGCAGCAGTTTGGGGCCAGGTGAGAAGCGCCTCTCTACATTCACTGCAGCTCCAGCAGACACAGCTGGGGGAGGAATGCATGTCCCCCCCTTTGGGGCAGGTCCAACTTCATCTACCCCCTGGCACTCCCCAGCCAGAGTGAGGAATACAGTAAACTGTGCACTTCTCCCTTAATTCCATGAGGGAGGGGATCGGTCAGCAATGTTCCTGTACGAACAGGGTGGGGGGAACTTCAGCCCCTCCCACCATTCCTAAAAAGCACCTGAGGGATAGGAGGCTTGGGCAGTCCCGGACGGGGAGGGGGAAAGCGCCCTCAGTCAGCCCTTTTCACTTGCCTGGTGAATCTCTTTCTGGTATGATAAGCAATCCAATTTCCAGGCACATTCCAATTTTCCTGGCACAACCAAACTCTTACCTTGCTTTAAGTTATGATAAGAGGAAGCAGTGTACTGAATTTCATAGCTCTAGCTCTTACCATTTAGGAGGAGTTTTTGAACACATACACACACACTCTCAAATATATAGCATATTTCATAACAGAGTCACATCTCCTCCTCCTCCTCTGTCCATTCCATCACTGTATGGAATGTTAATTTTGCACTTAACTGGAAGTTAATCAGCTGTGCAGCTCTGCCCTTTTGAAAGGCCACTGCAGCGTTTCAAAGCAGCTGTGCTGTGTGGAGCCTGGGGTTAGCTGGTGACTCTCTACATGACCCTGGCTACGTGCAGCGCTGCCGCTTTGAAATGCCGCACTGACCCTAGGCTCCATGCAGCATTTCAAAGTGGCAGCGCTGCATGGAGCCTGTGGTCCCGTGGAAATGCCGCATGGAGCCTGGGGTCAGCTGGGGAGTCCCCAGCTGATCGCAGGTTCTGTGGAAATGTCATGCGGAGCCTGGGGTCAGCTGGGGAGTCCCCAGCTCACCCTGGGTCCATGTGGCATTTCAAAGTGGTAGCGCCGCATGGAGCCCGGGGGTCAGC